TTTAAATAAATAAATTTTTTATTTTAATCTTATTGTTATTTATTTACTTTAATTATTTATATGATCACAAAAAATTTAATTTTATCTTTTAGTATTTTTTAAAAAATAATATAAATAAACACATAAATTATTTTTAATTCTTACTAAAAAAAATAAAAAAAGAAATACTGACAATTATTTTAAAATAAAAGAGTAATACTACAAAATATCTTATTTTAGAAAATTCAAGAGACCTAACCGTTAAGTTGTCCTTGGAGATATTCACGTAGCATTTATTCCAATTAGTCCAAGACGATAAAAGAACCCCTTTAATTTAAGTTCTAAGATTCAAATTCATTGTATAATTGAAAAGAAAAGAGATTCAGATTCGCTAATTTCTAAATACTCTCTACTCTTTGTTTTTTGTTTTTTTCTCCCCCCAAAAATTAATGGACGCAAAAGAAAAGGAAAAGAGAAAAAGAGACGATATACAAGTTGGCCTTGTCATTTATGTCCTCATGTAGGAATCAAGTTAAGATGATGTCTTAAAAGAATATTTCCCTAACTCATTCTCAAAATGTCCATATCTTGTAAATGAAGTAAGGCATGCATGAAGTGGGAGACACATTGGATGGTCTGCAACTAGCTCTACATGGAAACATTATAGCTCATGGGTCTCAATCTCATGCCTCATGCCCCTTGTCTCCTCTGTTTTTTCTTACTCAAATCACCACCATTATTTATAATAACAAGAAGAAAAATATCAATCTCTATTATTATTAAATCCTAATTGATTTAAAAACTGTCAAGCAAGAATCCAAAAACAGTATTAAGATTACCATAACATGATTTGTTAAGTAAAGGCACAAGAATAGTGCTAATCTTTAACATCATCAACTAAGCTTTTCTAAAAATTGTAGGGTATATAATTGAATTGCTTTAACAATAGGGATTAGTACTGTGCACGAGTGTGCAGAAAATCATGAGAAGAATCCAAAAAGAAAAGGTAAAAAGTTGGAATAATTCTCTTCTTTGTGCTCCCATATACACCCACTTTCCATGTGATTCCACGTATGCAATCCATTCCATACACTTTTATACATTGTATTCCTGCAATGGTTCCAAGATTGGTCAACCTATGAGGACAAAGGGGGATGGCGAATTTTCATAATTCACAAAACCAGATTCGTTAGTCTACTCATTTCTTTTTGATTAATAATTGCTACCCAAATTCTGCCTCCCTTAAAGAACACCCTCAATATTTTCTCCCCCTTCTATCACCTACTCCACTTCTCTGGCCTCAAGGAAAACCTTTTCCTTCTAACTATGGGTTTTGATGATATTCCTAACTTTGGCCTCCCTCTCAATCTTGGTCTTGGTTTAGGCAGCTGCCTTGTGGAGCAAGAAAACTTTTCACAATCCGATCATCAGAGAAGGAAGAAGAAGTTTTCCTCCCTGAATATCAATGACCATCAACTTTTTCCTTCTCTTACTTTAGGTCCTTCAGCTAGTAAAGGAGATCATCAATCTGGCGATCATCACCAACAAGCTTCTTCTCTCAGTGCCGCATCCTCATTTTCCAACTCTAGTGTCAAGAAAGAGAGGGATTTCGGCAGTGAAGAGGTGGAGTTGGAGAGAGTTTCTTCAAGGTTAAGCGATGAAGATGAAGAAGGTAGTCCTAGAAAGAAACTCCGTCTCACCAAAGAACAAAGTGCCATTTTAGAAGAAAGCTTCAAAGAGCACAGCACTCTTAATCCTGTATGGTACCATCCCCTTTACCTTCATATTCCAATTCAATCTGTATATATTTTTTTATATAATCTTATGATGATTTCTTTTCGTTGATATTTCTTCATTTAAAAGCAGAAACAAAAGCAAGTTTTAGCAGAACAACTGAATCTGAGGCCGCGACAAGTGGAAGTTTGGTTTCAAAATAGAAGGGCAAGGTTTGAGTTCTTCTATGTGTGAACTATATATATAATTGGAGATAAATTTTTAAAAAAAATTAGGGCGAGATTTAATTTTTTTTCTTCATACAGGACGAAGCTGAAACAGACCGAATTGGATTGTGAATTACTGAAGAAATGTTGTGAGACACTAACAGAAGAGAACAAGAGGCTGCAGAAGGAAGTGCAAGAGCTTAAATCGATGAAAGTCACAGCAGCACAGTACTTTATGCAACTTCCGGCAGCCACCCTGACCATGTGCCCTTCCTGTGAGAGGGTCACCGGTGGTAGTGGAAGTGGTGATGTCGGGTCTCCGTCCAGGCCCTTTACAGTCGGTCAAAAGTCACACTTCTATAATCCGTTCAGTCATCACCCTTCTGCAGCCTACTAGGAAAAACCGGAAGAGGAAGTAGGGAAGTGCTATAAATAGTTTTCTTCGGAGCATCCCTGTCTTTGAATACAGAGATGAAGCAATTGAATTAAAAATATATGTACACTAGAGTCCTGGAGTCTATATCCATAACATTTCTAGTAGAAATGTTGCAAATTTGTAGTGAAATCTTTTTATTAAGGTATATATAGTTCTTCTGACAAAACGAAGAATGTTTTTCTCTAAATTCTTTAAATTAAAATTACTCACTCTCTCTACTAGAAAACCATCTTTGAACGATGAAGAAAACACATCGGTAAGATTCTTATTCTTGTTGTTGATTCCATTCAAGTCCTATAGGAGGCTGGCAGACATTATGCATGTTTTCTCAGACGCATGGAGGACAACATGTTTTGCTTTATGTTTTGAAGACAAGACAACATTATAAGAAACCCTCCGAATTGAAATTCCATGATTTATGACGAGTGAAGTAGAGCGCTACTTGATATTAAAATGATACTAATTAAACTATAATTGCTCCCGTGTAGGAACAAAATCAATATTGTATTTTGAGTTTAATTAAAAACAAATTATTTATATTGAATAGAACCATTAAAAATTAAGAATAACGAATTTATGATCCATTTTAAATTTTAAAATTCTTTAAATAAAAATAAAAGCAACTATGTCAGACACAAAGCAGTGAAGGTACAAATGTAGCAAATACATATGCCGATGGAAAACACACCTGGCAATAAGAAATTGTCTGTCAAATTTGCCATCCATCTGCTCGATAAAATGCCTCAGAGAAATAGAGGGGCCACGTGAAGTTGAAAACATAACGTTTCTACTGTAGCTTGGAAGAAGAGAAATGGGAGGAAAATAGATATTGGCCGCATGCGCTTTACATCAGTGGTGACTTCATGGATCAGTAGAGGAAATTTTTTCTTCTTGGCCTTTGGTAGAGGAAAATTAGAGGCTGCTAATTGCATGAAAATGACGGGGAGGAAACTGCCCACTTGGATACACATGGAGTTATTAAGTATATATACATTTAACTAAGGGGGTTCGGTAATCAGATATGTTAAACCAAACCAAACTATATACTTCCATATTCGTCTTGTATTTATTATAAATTGTCGTAAGGGATGATGATAATTGTTGGATATGGACATGTGTGCAGTGCATACGTGTAAATGTACTGTACTTATCAAGTTATCATGGTTGTCTAATAATTATTTTGAAATCAATTTTTAATTAGAAATAGAGGTTGATAACCTAAGGGGTGGATCATTGTTTGGAAGGTAAGGTATCTTCACCAATTTTTAATTACGTACAGATTACTAGTAGTTAACATATGACACTTTGATTGTCCAAATTTTTTCTTTAAAAAAAATGAAAATTTTCAATTTTTTAGCGAAAAAACACTCCATAGGCTCGAGTTTAATTGTCTTATTTTATTCATTCGTGATTATAGAAATTAATTTACTATAATAATTAATACTTATCTTCTATTTTTACCCTTATTTATAATAAAATAAAAAAATATTAATATTTATTATTTTATTAAAATAAAAAGTAAGACAATTAAATCACCACTCTTATTTAAAACGAGAAATAAATAAATCAGATTGGAGAGAATATCACTCTAGATGAAAATAAACTTTCCCTACACATAATGTCAAAAATATTAATTAGAAATGATATTTATATTTTGATTTGTCTGAAAAAGAAGAATTATTTTGCCAACGACTTAAATAACTCAGTGGTGATCTTGTTTCGTTAGAAATCAGAGATATTGAATTCAAGTCGTATAGCATATGAGTAGAGTGGAATAAGGGATGAGAAATTATTGCTTTTAATTGTGCAACCAAAATAAAAAAAATATATATTCTAACTTATAGATATGGGCTTGTGGATGCAAAATACTATTTTGTACAGAATTAGTCTATTCATTGGGCTGGGCACTGCTAACGGGCCCCTGAACGCATACAGAGACGTGTGAAATGTCGAGAGTACTCAAACCCATGCCAACAATAACCCTAATCACGTACTTAGATTACAATTAATTAGGGGTGTGCACTTACCAATAATACCGGATTTACCGAAATTACAAACTGAAATTGGTAGGTTTTTTTTTTTTTTTTATCTTGATTATACGATAAAAAGTAACTATCTCATTCATATATTATGCGACTCAAACTCAAAATCTCTCATTTTTAACAAAAAAAAAAAAACTATTTAATTATTTAAGTTATTAACCAGCAGTTCTAGCACGGTAAAATTACCATTTGGCTTGCCAAATGGTAATTTTGGTAAATACCACTTAGGCCATGGTACGGTGATGGGATATAGGCCTATTACCAGATTTACAGATTATCATAATGTGCCTCCAAAATTGCTTTTGTGATGTTTTGAGTAAAAATAATTTAATTTTTTTAAAATAAAATTTTGAATTTAAATTTTATAAATAAAAAAATTTAAATTTAAATCACATAATATACAAGTGAAGTGAAGTAATAAATAAAAAAATTTATCTCTCATTATATAATTAAAATAAAAAAAAAACTTAATATTACATTAATAACATGATAAAGGATAGACACTCCCTTGTTTTTTTTTTAATTAATTATTTTAAGATAATTTTTAATTAATTACTTATTCATCGAAATTAGATTTTTTTTTTGTTACATGATAGAAGGTAATTATTTTTCATCTTTTATCTTACCTCATTTATATGTTATACAACTCAAAATCAATATCTCTTACTTTTAATAAAAAGATATTACTATTAAATTACTTAAATTATTAATAGATTTTTAATTTGTTATTGTGTTAATTACATATATTATATAAAAAAAAATGATTAGAGCCCACTTTGAAGCCTCATTTTAAATCTAAATAAAGTACAAAATTGAGTACAACAGCCCATACAACTTAAAATATCACCCACTTGCAATCTAGAATCATTGCAAGTGCTTCCCGGTTCAATCTTCAATTCTTGGTCCTTTAATGTGCTGCTGCCATTGTCTTGCCCGCTTCAAGTTCACATGTAGAAGACCACAGA